TTGAAGGTTTGACAAACCGCTTGAGGGAAATTTGAGCAAAAATCAAATTTTTTTGATTTTCTGGCCGCCATGTTGACGTTTGATCAAACCGCTTGCGATGTGGATGGTAAAATCGCCTCAATTGCAACTGAAATTTCACCAAGTGAAGACGTAAGGGAGAATAATGGTAGAAAACTAAAATTCTGTGCTTGAACGACTCATGTTTGCATGGTCTATGGCAAAATGGGAAAAGTATGTTTGACAAGCCGCTTGTGTGGTGTATTTCGCTCTTAAGTTTAAACGATAATTTTACCATTTATCGGACCCTATTTATAGCAAAAGTAAGTAAAATAAAAGTTTTTATTGCGGTATGACAATTTTTTATATATAAACGTAATAAATAAAACCGTATTATAAAGTACTTGGTATTGAAGAAGTCGAAATGCGCACATCAACAGAAAAAAGAAAGTCGCAAAACGAAAAGACGAGCAAAACTTAAAGTGCTGTGGAAAAATAAAATAAGGTTTATAAAATAGTTAATTTAAAATGCAGAAAAAAGTACCTTTGTTGTACCCTTAGGTTGATGCGGCTGTGTTTGTACCTTTGTGTCATTGTATTTTATCGAAATTTTGTAATCCCATCACTAATCATACGAAAACAAAAAACGTCAAAAAGTTCTAGAAGGAAAATTAATTGTGGTCCTGGTGATGGGAGCGTAAGTTGATTTATTTATGATTCAAAAAAACTATTATATCTTTATTGTACAAATTGAACAGGAAATAAAGCACAACTCATGTCAGCATACACATCAAATTGGCGTGAGCTTTATTTTTAATCTCCTCGGCCAGGACACAATTCACAACTTTTAATAACACAATGAACAAGGAGAACGGATTTACGAATCCAATGTTAAAAAATTGCATCGAAATCGGCGTTTCTCAACCATTGCAGTCCTATTGCGATGGGGATTTAGTAGAAACAAAATGAAAAGATCCAGAGCCATTTGTATCATAAAAAAATTGCTGAAGTTTAACTGGGACAGAAGATGGGAGAGAAAACCACTGAACAAACTTATCTGGTTGACACAATCCTACAAGGGAATAAGTGCACATATTAGGGAAACTTTGTTTATTTAATGTTTATTACACTGTACTTAGTGTAATATATTTAGCTTTTAATTTGATGTGATGTACTTAGCTTCTGATTTTTGATTGATTAATAATTAGTTCATAAGATAAGTGTCATAAATGAAAAATTTCTATATCATGCGTGACAGATCACACTTGACGAATTTTTACATCAACTGTGAGTAATCAACAATGATATGAAAACATCTCAGACTTGGTAAGACTTGTCTAAATAGTCAACTTTTTATTCCGACTTGTCTGATATCAGGAATTGGCTGGCAAATGTGCTAGCTGGGATGTGTGAGCGAGTGAACATACTGCCATACCTAAACAAAAGCGTCGAGCGGAGCGGTTTCTGACGCCTAGCGTTAGTGCCGAAGTGCCATACCTAAACAAAAGCGTCAACGAAAAGTTTTAGTAAGTTTTTCCACTCATTTACAGCCCTATTCCGGTTTTGCAATAGAATGACAATTAATCATC